GCAAAACATGTTCTTGTAGGAAAGTGAAAGCCTTATGAAAAAGATCTCTTATAATTATTGATGAATCTAATTCTTTAAAAGTTATTCAAGGGCAAAGTTGAACTTACAAGAAATTGAAAGATTTTTTCACTTTTTTAATGACTCTGTCACCATCATTTATTGACTCTTGTAAGGAGCTTATCTAACATTAATTTTTAATTTAATCAACTACTAAACCAATCTTTGATTAATAATACATATTAATGTCGGATACGTTTTCTTACTCTCATATATTACCATATGTGATCATTTCAATCTATATAAGACCATATCAGAAAATTTTTTCATGGAAAGCGATAAATAGATTTTCAAAAAATTAAATCACTTAATACCAATAATTACTCGGCTTACAATTCAAGCACCTCTTCAGCCATAACAATAACCATAATACACATGGATTAAACAGCAATAGTGTCGACGTGAAAATGTTCAGTTCGATATTGTTATCGTTATTACTTTTAAAATCCTTAATACCAGAATTTCTATCCTCATTTTGCCGATAAAAGTGCAAGACGTGACTTGTTACGAAAATCCTTGTAGATCGTTATCTGCATCCTCCCTTTGCTTGCAGGACAATATAATAAGAACAGGTTATTTTTTCCAATACGAGTGTATGAGCCTGGATGGCATTTTCTTTGAATGGAAAAGCCCTATCGATTTCCTCCAATATCAATTCGAAATTCCATGCTCTATTGGATTTAAAGCTTTGTTTCATTTCTTTAAAATAACTTTTAAAAGCATATAATAAAATGTATAAATTTAAAATCCGAAAAATATACATCTTTCTCATTTCTGGGTTAACCAAATAAAGTTAAAAGCGTACACGTCAGTAACAGATAATATTTAACTTTCCTTTAATGGTAAAATGATGGATTGCTGTATTGAATATTTTCATAGATTTTTTCCGCAGGGAGACAGCTCCCTGAGACTCTTTTCATGTCTAACCAGAAAAATCTCCACTCAATATCCATCTCAATCATAAAACTTTTTATTCATCAGGAAATATAATACCTAAAATTATTTTTCTCCAAAAAACTGGAAGAAAATTTTCTTTTAATCTCATACTTTTTCTCAACATCCACTAGGACAGCACGGAATCCTTTAAAAGCTTCCCAGACTTTAGATTAAAAAAACTTTACAAATTCTCCATGCTCGAATTGTTATTTTCCAAGGAACTTAAACTTTCAATCACAAATCAAATGATTAAACCAAAAAGTAGAGAGTTGAAGCTGTAGATCTAAAACGCGAGGGTTGTAGCAAAAATTACTGACTTATATTTGCCAATCTATAGATATAGATATACAGTCGACGCCTGCAGCCGTTTTAGTTCGTTACAAACTTGCAGAAAGTAAATTCTCATTGGAAGTTGGTGGTTCATTGCGTTCCCGGTAGCATCCAGATGAGACGTGATAGGATGATATCGATTCTTCCGAATCCCTCATGGGAATGGAAAACAGGAAAACGTATGAGCATGAGCGTGAAAGATAAGATTAAGTATGAAGTATGAGTTCAAGTTATGCTTTAAGCATCCAGTTACTTTCTCTATCTATTTCGATGCTTCTATTTTATATTTCGCAACTTTAACTTATCACCGTTTAGGAGCACACTCTGTTGCATTTAGTAAAGTTTACATGAATTCTGATTCACATTTGGAGGCCTTTAATTCTAAAAAAAAAAAAATAAAAGAAATGACTAAGTATATAAAGCAAGTCTTCCTGCTTCTTACTTGAGTCAGAAAAAAAGGAAACTTCCCAGCACAAAGCATTTCGTAGGTGATTTAAAGTTTTCTTTTTTTAATTTAAAGGACTTTTCCCATTGGTGTATCGTACACTGAAATGCTTCTCAGCTCGCGGGTAAATTTCCTTTTATGTAATAAAAATTCTGGATTCTTCAACTGGAACATTTCAGCGAGCCGTTAGCAAAAAGTCTGTAGCTAAAATAAATTAAAAAAAAAAATATCATAGTTGTATTGGATTACTATATACTACACGGCAAAGTGGTTGAGGGCTATAGGAAAAGTTAGCGACGGTCAGTGTATTTTTGTTGCTCCAATAAACCTCTGATGATATTGGATGTTCTCTAGTTTTTTTTCTGTATTCGTAACCCAGGTCAGGTAATAGCTATAAGATATAACGATAGACTTTTCTTCTATACTTAGCTTAGTACTTTATCTCCTACGAGCGCCCATGGATTCCGGTTAATTGTCTAGAGTATGTTTCTGAAAAAATTAACTAGTTGCTGGAAGAATAAAAATTTCTAGGGAAGAGTATAAAAGGATTTTATTTTACTTGCTTGAAAATTACTTAAATCCGTGTCTTTATTATTGCACGAATTGCATTAACTGGTCGAAATAATTGTCCTGGCTTATTCTAACTACACAATGGGCTGTTAAGGGAACTTTTTATTAGGAGCGTGCCCAAGAAGTCCGTAAAAATATAATTGGACGATGGAATTTGGTTTGAGATTTTTTATTTTGTAATTTAAAATGTTCCATTGGCTTTAAGTTATTTTTAGAAAATGGAAGGTTAATTCGTAATTTGCAATGGATAAATTGAGGTTGGGAAAAATTTAATATGTACTACGGGAATTGATTTAAACTTTTAGCAGATGGAATTAGTAGAAGTTTGACCGACTAAAAATTGGTTAATTACGGAAAAGTTTAATTATTTTATTACTTTGCATATTAATTATAAGTTTATTTGTGTTTTAATTGGTAATCGGCTTTATTGTCATTAAAATAAGCCAGACTCTGGGTACTCATTTTTGACAAATGACAAAAAAATTATCAGACAAAATCATGGTGTATTAAAGACAATCTGCTAAAGTGAAAGCACGAATTATTGACAAGGTTCTAATTGTTATTTTCTTAATTATTTTATTATTTTAAATCAAGAAAAAATAGCATTTTTAAATATTCTATTCTAATGATTTTATTTTAGTGCGTTAGTTCAAAATTATTGACAATATTGAGAGTAATTTTCTTTTCTTGTCCATAAAGGGCGGTATGACTAAGATTGATGTTTCTCACAACGTTGACTTATAGCTCATATCATGTCATTCCATGTTTTTGCTAGATATTTCAGATCCTTCTAAATTTTCCTCCAATATTTGATATAGAGATGAGCAAATAATGTCGAAGTCGATTAGTTATATAAAGTTTCAAGTATTGCACATGATTAAATTATTATTGATTGATTATGATCTGATAGAATGGGTCAGACATAAATAGTAAGCTTGTACATAGAAAAACTTCTGCTATGAAAATATTATCTTTCATTTTGCTTCATCTATCATTGATCTTCCGGCGGCGTTTTGCTCTTTAGACAATTTATCATAGTTCAGTTTCACCAAATATGTTTTCTAACAGTTTTTTTTTTTTTTTTTTTTTTTATTTTAACAACTAATGATTCTCATGCTAATCATTATAAAAGTGATAAAAATTGAAATTTTCATATTTTTAATAAAAATTTTCAGTTTTGACTATTGATTTTTTATTCAATAAATAAATTAGTACTGATAGAGTAGAAAAGAAAATTCAATTCACAGTTTTTCAAAATTTTTACAAATGGAATTTGTTTAATGATTTAGAAAATTTTTAGGGTTGCAAAAAATACATTAATTTAATTTTTCAAATTATAATCTTTTTGAAAAATGTAAGATTTACAATTTCTAAAAAAATACTTCAATGAAATTTTTAACGTTATTAATTTTTAAAATAATTAAAAGTTTAAAAAATGTTGCTAATGCATTTTTTTTTTTAAGATTAATAATTACAAATCTTAATTAATGTATTATTCAAATAATTAAACTATTATTATAAGAAATGTATAATTTAGTCAATTATAATTATTCATTTTGCTTGAAAGAATAAACGATAAATTCTTAAATTAAATATTTTGCAACCCTGTCTGAAACTATGTTACTCCATATCTCTAGAAGCGAGACTTGAGCAGACATAATTTTAATATCATATTTATTATAAATATTTATATGAACAGAATATCAATTATTAAAAACTATAATTTCATGTAAATAGTTAATCATTAAAATTGTTTATCGCTTGTATATACACAGAAAAAAAAGTTCACTTGAGCTAAGAAAATATTTTTCTTCCTAATTATTTTCTTGAGCGAAAAAAAATTTTTTTTTTGACACAAGAAATTTCACTTATTCCAACAAAATTATATGATCGAGCGAACCAAAGGCAGGCGATGCTCAATCGTAATTATATTGATTGTTTCGTTCGAAGAGATCACATTGTAGTACTGCCTCGCACACCAATTGTCACCACAAAGTTAAGCTGTAAATAAAATGAAGTTAGCTACGTTGTAACGCCGTTATATGTCCAGCCTCATGCAGTTTAAAGTAGTTGTTTCTAGAAGAGATCACGGGAGGGATAATACAATGATTTTTAAATAATAATTAATAATAAATAGAGGGTGGGGTGTGATCTCTTCGAACGAAATAATCAATATAATTACGATCGAGCATCGCCTGCCTTCGGCAGGCTCGCTCGATCATATAATTATATCTCATGTTTCGTTCTCGAGATCACATTGTAGGATGTTCAGAGTATCATTTGAAAAAATATAATTATTTTTATTAATTTAACAATTCTTTAATTGAACAATATATATTTTTTTTTTTTTTTTTTTTTTTTATAATAACACACTTTTAGCAAATGTACTCGGATCTTGTACAATAGGTCTATTATAAAATTTTTCAAAAACCTTTGAGTTTTCTGACCAGCCAGCAAGATTCTTGATAACGGAGAGATCGACTCCTTTAGCTAAAGCTGATGATGTAGAAGCATGTCTGATGCTGTGAGGAGTATATTCACTTGATATACCACAGTTAAATAAGAACATTTTCAACCATCTGCTCAAAGAATCTTTTGAAGCTGCTCTAAAAGGTTGTCTTGTTGTAATAAATAAAGCTTCTATTTTGTCATTGATCAACAAATCAGATGTAACTTTTAAATAAGCTTCTAACATTGAAGCAACACACAAATTTTTATTTTCAGGAAACCGAGGAAGAATAAGAAGAGGTTGATGATGACCACGTCTTGACGTCTTAATAAAATCCGGAATTTGAATTTCATAACCGTTCTGAACTTTTTTAATATTTGATCGTTTAATAAGTGATAGAGTTTGTTTACGATGCGCCGTAATTAAGGCCATTGACATTAATAACTTGTTAGTTAATTCTGGTAAACTAAGAACACTGAGCGGACTCATTTGTTCTAATTTATTAATAACCGGATCAAGACTGTAAATTTTATTGTACTTAGGTTTACTGGGTTTCTCTTTATAAATCCCTTTTAACAGACGAGATAATAAAGAACTCTGTCCAATATATTCTCCACAGATTAAAGAAAGAGCCGAACGACAAGTATTGAGAGAACTATAAGAAGCACCTTGATGAAATTTTCCAGACATCCAGTCCGCAACTTGACCCTCAGTTGGCTTGTATAAGTTCAAGTCTTGAGATTTGCAAAAATAATACCAATCTACAATAGGTTTATTGTATTGTTTAAGAGTGGATTCAGTAATCGAGTTGAGGAGAAGACTAACAGACTCTTCTTTTACTCCTTTCAACTTGAATGCTTCGCAGATAATCTTCCTGCCATCAGGGTTAATTTCGCGGCTAATGGATGCTGCATTTTTCTGTCAAGACCAAGCAAAAGATTATTTGAAGGTTGAAAAAATAATGGAGGAGATTCCAATAATGACAACCACAGAGGATACCATGGTCGCGCATGCCAATCAGGAACCACTACAATTCCACAAGCTTGGTCAACTTGAATTTTTTGTAAAACTTTCAAAATTAGAGAAAAAGGAGGAAAAGCAATGCTTATCTCTGCCAACAGCAGACTTATGAAGCAACGGCAAAAGCTCTGGATTCAAAATCGGAGCTTTTAGGTTAATATTATATTTATCAGGATATTTTTCTAAAATTTCCTTTTTTGTAGAGGTTTCCATCCCCTTTGAGAGAGTCTCCTTCCAACATGCGACAAGCTCAGGATGGAACTCGAAAATTAGGTCTTTCTGTCGACGCTTTTCAACCCCAAGAAGATCCCGAGCCTTCTCCGGTAGTTCAATAATTTCAGAATTATTGATGTCATTGTCTTGTGGAGTACGAGGAACCTTGCTACCGGAATCCGTTTTGGGAACGGTCTTCTTTTCAAGATCAGACTCAGATAATTCATCATGATCTGAACCTACAAGACAATAATGATCTGGGTTATAAATGTTATCAAGGAAATAAATTCTTTGACACAAATAAAAAAAAATTATTTTTGATGTATAACCCAGTCGAATGGTACAATTTGTAACCGAAAGAAGGTACAAAATTGCCCAAATTGCTATAACAAGCAATTTAATTTTGGTTATTTATATTTTATTCATTTATTTATTTTGGGATAACCCAATGGTGCGAATTATTATAAAATAATCGCCCGAATTTATTATGAAAAATTAAATTAATCATAATAAATAATTAATGAATAAAAATAATCATGAAAATAATTATAAAAAGTTAGCCTATTGGCATAGACATATACCTTCGTCATCTGATCTGACAGATATGTCACTTTCATGTTTGTCGGATGACAATTCATCTATTAAATTTTGATATTTCTTTAATTTTCTTTTTAGAAAATCAAGATCCAGAGGTGAATCAGCTTGTCGCTTGCTCATAATATTTTTTATTAAATATTAACTTACTTTTTCCAAATTAATATTGAGAGAAATAAAATAGTACGTAGTGACAAGAGGCGCACAAAAAACAGAATGAGGCTGGACATATAACGGCGTTACAACGTAGCTAACTTCATTTTATTTACAGCTTAACTTTGTGGTGACAATTGGTGTGCGAGGCAGTACTACAATGTGATCTCGAGAACGAAACATGAGATATAATTAATTCTCTTGCTTTAAGAAATACGTAGCTTGATCCAAGAAAATTTATTTAAGTCAAGAAAATCTTGTTTTGAGAAAATTTAGCCTCTTGCTCCAAAAAATTTAGTTCTTGATAGAAGTAAATTTTCTTGTCTTGAGAAAATTTCTCTCTTGCTAAAAAAATAAAATATCTCGATTGAAGTAAATTTTCATTAATATTTTTATTGATTAACATGTCAAATAGGAAGATCAAATAATATTGAATCATTTTTTTCATTCAATATGTATAATTGCACGCTAAAATAATATAAAATGGGTATCAAATATTCAAGAGAAAAATTTTCTCAAGGGCTGCTTCCCTAAAGTATCTAAAAATCTTGATCAAATATAAAAATTTATTGTATCAAGTATTTATGATAATTTGAATTAAGAAAAAATTACTTCCACCATGAATAGAATTTCAAGAAAAATTTTTACTTCGGCTAACAAAACTTTGGTCTCCCTTTAGACACCCGAAAATTTTTTTGAGCCAAGAATTTTGTTCTCAGGTCAAGAAATTTCTCTTTCTGGGTAGTGAATTAGTGATTGCTTAGTACAATTCTTAAAACTCTTTCAATAAGATTATATTATCAGATTCCTAAAATGTTGAGGCGAAAGATGAAAGTTTCTTCGCTCAATTATAAATTAAAAATTAAAAACAATCTTAGAATTGTTCTTTTCATCTTAAACTTATTGCCATTAAAAAAAGAATAAAAAAAAAACTAATATAACCATAAAAAATAACTAAAAAATTAAATTTTGTTTTAAAGGATCGGGAATTCGTGGAGATGGACGTACCATTCAATGGAGCGCCAAAGAGGCCAGGTTCGCCATCGCCTTTGACATCGCCGGCCCACAGCACAGCGTCGCGTGGTGGACTGCTGCAGTCATGCTGCGGGCGTTGCTATCCTCAGCGTTATCAGGTACGCGGTCGGGGCATCCTCGTCTCCAGGACATCAATCAGCGATCAGGGTCCGCCGTCCTTATCATCGCAATCGCAATCTCAATCGCAATCGCATTCACATCCATCTCATTCTACGCGTTACGCGGATCCTACCGTGGTCCCCAGCGTTGCATTTAACATTCCCGGTGACGCCGATCGCCGTCGCTTTAACACTGGCGCTCCCGACAGTCCCTACAACGAGACCCGGGTCTAAATTTTTTCATACTTTTACTTACAATCGCTACTGTAATTAATATTTACCATCATTACTATTGTTTACACACTCGAGTATGCCGTCGAGTATAATTTAAGTCGACTACGTGAATATCAATATACTACTGTTAAATATCAAACTATAATAATAATAATAATAATAATGATTATTATTATTACTTAAATAATGATAAATATTAAAAATATATTAATAATAATAATTTTACGTGCACACATGACAGGGTATTCGATAAATTGCATATAATAAATACCATTCGATTTGATATAGGTCGCTTCATCAAGTGTCCGCCGGCCGGCACTAATTTAGTTTTAGTTTTTTTTTTTTTTTTTTTTTTTTTTGATGTGACGGTTGTTGACGATATTGTTTTATTTATATATCACATATAAATTTTATGTATGATTGTTTGTTATTATATTAAATATTAATATTATTGCTATTTTCAATTATCATTATCACGTATGATAATAATTGGATGGTTTCATATTTTTAACGTCAACGACTGAACTGACGTATTTTAATTAAATATCCTTGAGTTTCTAATTTATTTATATCATTGAAAATAAATCATATTTTTTCTTTAGTTAATTTATAAAATCGTCATAAAAATTATGATCAAAATAATTGAACTTTAAGGTAAAGTCGGTGTAAATTTTTACATTAGTCCATTTTTAATCACAGTAATTTTTTATCATCTTAATTATATTATGAGCTTTCTACACTAAAAATTATAAGAAGAATTAATTAGTTTATTTGAATGATTTAGTCGCTTCATTGGAATTTAAACAAGAAATTTGTTGATTTTATGGAGGTAAGAGAAATATTTGAAACTCTAAGAGGATGGTGATGCTATTTTCCATTATAATAAAATCAATATTAATTTTTTGTAATTAAAGTATTTGTAAATAAGACTTTTTAAATTTGCTGTTAAATTTTGTTCATCCCAATATTAAAATTTTATTACAAATAATCGAACATTCGGATCCATATTTTTGTATATTAATATCTACGACAAACTTGGAGAAATATTTTAATCATTGATATTCTTTATCACTTACAATGATCATATAATGGAAAAATAAAAATTTTAAATCTTTATTATTATGGAAAAAAGTGTATTATAAAAAAAATAGTGTATCGTGTTAGTAAAAATATTACGGTTCTATGAATTGTTAAAAAAATATAAAACCAGACTGTAAAAAATTTGCGTCATGGATATTATGGTCAGTGCCATAAAAGTTTGCGCTAGTAATTTTACGGTGAATATTCGACATTTTTATTTGTAAATTCCATTTATTGCTAGTATATAATTTTCTTTAAAAAAATTTTAGCAATTTTTGAGAAAATAGTATAATATTATGTTACTTATGATCTATGATTATGACCATTTTATGATTAAGAAACGTGAGAGAGCTTTTGGTAAATTTACTTCCACCGTCGCATTGTTACTTTACAGAATTATTTTTCAGAGAATATTAACTAAGTACCCGAATAATGTAACTGAGTATTCAAAGGAAAGTCAAGTGAAAGCCGAGTTCTGTTAATTCGAATATTAGAATTTTTCTGTGTAAGAACTTAGTACTAATTAAATGTCAAGCTAGAAAATTTGTTGTATTTTTGGTACAGTTTCTTTTTTTTTTTGAGCTTGCAGAACAAGTATTAATCATTAAAATATCCAATATTGATATTATAATAAAAGTAAAAAATTTTATTGCAGAATTTTTGAAAATAATGGACTGGTGTTATCTTACATCGACTTGATAAAAAATTTTTTCTTCATTTGTAAAGTAGTAAATTTTTTTAAATTTTAATATGACGATTTTAAAATTGTAAAAAAGTATTTAGGATGTAGATAAAAAAATGGGATAAATAAAATTTATCTTGCGTAAGCACATAATTATTTAAAATGTGCGCCAATAGCTCTTATAATCAGTACAGTAATAATATTACTTAATACTCAAAGTAAAATAAATTCAGTATTAAATCGAAGTAAATTTTTCATTACTAGTATTAAAATGGCGTATAAAATTGTACTGCATATAATATAAATAATTATCGCCCTTTTATAATTAGTAATGATTGATAATAAAAGCGGTTTGCGTGAATAATTTGATACAAACTGTAAAGGTTCAAGTGATTATCAATCACTAAGTGTGCCAATAGACGATTAACGCGCGACATATCATAAATTTTAAATCAACGTTCTTATCTCTATTTATAAAAATATAAATAAATAAATAATAAATGCGCTTCGTTGGTTAATGTTTATACTGTTACGCTGTAAAAAATAATGTTAAAAATAATAAATAAAATTATTTTTTTCAGTGTAATTAATCTAGGGTCGAAGAGAAAAATAATTTCGAATGTGACAGCTGTTTCGGATAGTTATGGATCGTTTATACTTTCATTAAAAACATATCAAATGTGTATAATCGGCAAGTCTGAAACTATATCTGGCGTGCAATTCCACTGAAAGTGTTCGTATAAATTTATCTTTACCCTCTAGTGTAATTACTATGGGACGATATCATGGTCATCGTTATAATGATACTCGGGATGAGGATAGGTGTTACTACATATATGTATTTTACATATATATGTGTTCTCATATGTAGGTGGACATTGTATATAAAGGTATATGGCGTAGTCCGGGAAGAAAACTCAAATAATACGGGCTCCTATATATATATATATATATATATATATATATATATATATATATATA